GCCTGCTATTTGTTCCTCAGGTATTTCCAATTTCACCCTTCCCCCTTCAAATATTATTTTCACATTAAATCGGGACAACAGGTCTCTGCCAAGAAGGGGTGTGGGGCAGTTTGGCATATACAAGAATTGGTGATCTAATTCCTTCCCCCCAAACCTAAGATTTAAAGGTTGTAAAAATGGTTGTTCCTCTAGCTTCCCTGTTGCCCCCACCACCTGTACTGTTGTGTCACTCAAAGGTCCCAATAGTCTATTAAGTACAGAATAGGTTGCTCCAGTGTCTACCATAAATTCTTGATCCTTTCCATCTATCTCTAAAACTACCCTAAGATCCTTTTCTAGTCAGCCTTGATTCTGATAGTTTCCCAAAACTAGTGCTTGAGCGACTTCTGCTGGTCCTCCCGTGAATCCTCCCACAGGAGCATTCCCCATTGGACCTGTCCTTAATCCTATGTTTCCCATGCCCATACCTCCTCTAACCGGGCATTCATTTTTCCAGTGTCCTAACTGTCGGCAAAACGCACACTGGTTTGGATCCAACCTCCCCGTGTTAGGTGCAAACCCAAATCCTCCCCGACCTCTTGCCAGCCCCCTTTGTCCGTGATTAGGTCCTCCCCGACCTCGACCCCTAATGGGTCTTCCTCCTACCCCTGTTTGTTGCATTACAGCCAGAATACTAGCTTGTTGTCTTTTTGCAGTTTCTTTTTCCCTGTTGTTGTATACCTTCCACGCTACCTCCAACATTTTGTCCAAACTTCGAGTGTCCTCTCCTTCCAACTTTTGTAACTTTTTCCTAATATCTTCTTGTGATTGCCCCATAAACAACAATGCCAATTGAAGTTTTCCTGATTGATCCTCTACATCTAAATTAGTAAACTTCCGAGCCATGTCTTTTAATCGTTCTAAAAAGGCAGATGGTGACTCATTCTTGTCCTGCTTGACCGAATACAGCTTAGACCAGTTCATAGTCTTAGGTATTCCTGTCCTAATTCCTTCCACCAACAATTCCTGATATCGTTTTACAGCCCTTATTCCTCCCGTAGAGTTTGGGTCCCACCTTGGTTCCTCACTAGGTACCAATTCATCAACTGTTTCATTTAGTTGTCTCAACCGTATCTCCTCATGAGCCTTTTCTCTAGTGGCTTTAATAACTATTTCCTTTTCTGTGGAATCCATTATAGTATCTAATAATACCTGTAAATCATTCCAGTCCGGATTCTGAGTCTTTATTACCATTTTAACCACCCTTGCCACCCTTTCAGGATCCTCCCGATAACTCCCCGCTGATTGCTTCCATATTACCAAATCCCCGGGGGAGAAAGGCACCTTTATAAGTATCCTTTCTCCCTGTGGTCCCACAGCTTCCCTTCATGGCGCAATTAACTGTGGCCCCTTCTGCCCCTTCCTCCCCTTGCGAGTCCGCCCTGCTAACGGAGTTCTTTTAACACTCTCATTCCTTTCACCATCACCACCATCACTATCACTCTCACTAGATCCCGTTTTTATAGCTATATCCGCAGGGGGAGCAGGGGGCACATTAGGAGCAACCGGAGCCCTCGGGCGTGCTATACAATAAGACAAATCTTCCTCAACTGAAGGATACAAATTACGCTCCTTTCTTTCTTTACATCCCACACACTCCCTTTCATCATTCACTTCTAAAACGAAAATACCACACTCCTTTTGCCATTCATCTTTCCGGTACAAAACGAAAAACAAATCCAAATATGGTATTTCATCCCATTTCTCATTTCTCCTTAAAAATTGCATCAAAGATTCCATTATCTCCAATTCCAGTGTACCATTCACCGGCCATCCCGCTTGCCCAATCTCACATTCAGGCCACCAATGATTACAATAATCTATCATTTTACTTTTATCCAATTCTTGATAATACCCCTCACTTTTCCACCGTTTCAATATACAACCTAATGGTGTATTTCCAGGTATTTTACCATTGGCTTGCACTAAGGTTTTAAAAGTTTTAAAAGACATCATATTACAGCCTTTAATTCCACCTTTAGTTCCAGTAAACCAATACACCTTAAACCAATATACCTTCTCGCCGTCCTTCCCAAACAAAAACAGGAGGCGAGTTCCGGTCCTGCGTCCTTAGACGTCTTATGGCCGGAGCCTAGGCTTTTTACCAACCACCAAATCCAAATCCAATTATCACCTTTTTCCAATATAAAGCACCTTCAGGCTTACCTTGGCAGTTGTCCAACAGGCGCGGGCTCGGGCACGACCGATGTCTCCCCGAGAAGTGCTCGGTGCCGGCTTGGAGTGGATCGGAATGCGGAACCGCCCCAGCTGCCTTTGGAGTCCTGCCGCAGTCGCCAGAAAAACTGTTGCCCGATTGAAAAATGACACAAAACTCGGATAAGTTTTGTGGGTGCTTTATTACGGGCCCGGGGTGCTGGGGGACTCACGTCCCAAAAACCCAAGCCCCCGATTTCACATATGGGTGCTTCCCTCTTATACATGCGATTCACAACAAAGTCTCCAAGAAACAGTTCCCTTGTGATACATTCCTTAGTTCACAGGCAAGATCATAAATCTTCTGCTTATCTTATTCTAAGAGCATTGTATGCTGCCTTCAGACAGGTTAGCATTCTTACTCTCCTGCACTAGTTTAATTATTTACTAAATTCCTAAGACTACCTGCTAAGTTACACACAAACCAAACACACACACTATCAACGGCTGCAAAACTGCAAAACTGCTTTTAACAAACCAATTCACACACAACTCATAACTAAACTATAATTACACATTTGGCGCAATTTCATTTCTTTTCCAACACGGGCAGCCGTGACCCTGCTGGAGTGTGGGGGGGACCTCCAGCCCCCCGGGGGGTCCCTGCGCCTCCTCTGCCGAGGGTCTGGGTTCAGTTTGTGGAATTTTGGGCTGGGCTGGATCCGCCAGAGACCCGGGCAGGGGCTAGAATACGTCGCAAGGATCAGTGACAGTGGAGGTTACACCGAGTACGCACCGTCAGTCAAGGGCCGGTTCAGGATCTCCAGGGACAACGGGAAGAGCTTGGTGACGCTGACCATGAACAACCTCAAGGACGAGGATTCCGGATCCTATTTGTGTGTCAAAGCTCCTGGTGCTGGGGGTGCTGCTCCTGCTGATTATATGGACGATGCCCTTGCTGTCCCCATCTCCTCGTCCCCCCTATCCCCGTTGCCCAGACCCTTCCTCCAGACCCCCAGCCCACACCCAGCCCTTGGCCATTGATCCCAACCTTGCCCTGCCTCGGCCCCAAATCTCACCCCCTGACCCAAACCACAACTCGCGACCCCAAATCTCCACTTTGTGCCCCAAAACTTGATTCTGAAAGTGGATACTTCAAGCCAAGGGTTAAGGTTTGAGTCAACTTTGTAGTAATGTGCAGAGAGCGGATTTCGGGCCGAAGCACTCCAAGATTGGGACATGGGGACAGGAATGGGGTCCAGGCTTGGGGTTTTGGGGAAGGGTCCAGAGAATGGAGATAGGTGGGGACCGGGGAACAGGAACATGGCCAAATGCAACCTAAACATGAGAGTAACCAATACGTGCAGCAGCGTTCCAACCAGCACTACCAACAACACTTCTGCCACAGAAATAGGATCCGGAATTCTTGTCCTTGAGGTTGTTCATGGTCAGCATCACCGATCTCTGCCTGTTGTCCCTGGAGATCGTGAACCGGCCCTTGACCGATGGCGCGTAGTTGGCGTAAGCACCACTGCTGTGGATCCTTGCGACATATTCCCGCCCCTGCCCGGGTTTCTGGTGAATCCAGAATATGTCATAGCTCCCGAAACTGAACCCGGACGCTCGGCAGAGGGAGCGCAGGAACTCCCCGGGGGGCTGGAGGTCCCCCCGCACCCAAGCAGGGTCACGGCCGCCCGGAGCCCTGCGGGACAAAGGGGAGATGCGGATGAGGCCAAAGCTCAACCCTTGACCCAAATCCTGACTCTGGGCCCCAGATTGTGGCACTTTGTCCTTCTCCTCCTCACACTGGTCGCCCTACCGTGTGGGTGCAATTCCTTTTCCCAGCTGGACTTACCCAATGCAGGCCCACAGCCAATCAGGTTTCTCATCCCCATCTCCCCTTTGTCCCGCAGGGCTCCGGGTGGCCGTGACCCTGCTGGAGAGCAGGGGGGACCTCCAGCCCCCTGGTGGGTCCCTGACATTGCTGTGCCGAGGGTCCGGGTTCGATGTCGGCGGTATCACCATGTTCTGGGTCCGCCAGAGACCCGGGCAGGGGCTGGAATGGGTCGGGAGCATCAGGAAGGAGGGCTGGAGCTCCATTTACGCGCCTTCGGTGCAGGGCCGGTTCACGATCTCCAGGGACAACGGGCAGAGCTCGGTGACGCTGACCATGAACAAGCTCATGGACGAGGATTCCGGATCCTATTTCTGTGCCAAATCTGCTGCTGCTGCTGCTGTTGGTGGTTATAATGTTGGTGCTATTGGCCAGGTATTGGGACTCACCTGTCCCCGTTTCCCAGACAATTCCCACCAACCCCTGACCCCACTCCTGCCCTTTGTCTCAACTTTGCTCTGCTCTGAACCCACATCTCAGCTCCTGGCCCCAAATCTCGGCTCCTGGCCCCAAATCTCAGCTCCTGGCCCCAAATCTCAGCTCCTGGCCCCAAATCAGGGCCGGTTTCACGTTGAGCTCAGCCTCGTCCCTCCAATCCCAACCATTGCCCCCAGACTTGTCCAGTTTTCCCCCAAATCTCTCCTGCAGGCACCAAGTCACAGCCACAGACCCAAATCTGGCCCATTGGACTGACATCGGGAATTTCGGGCCAAAATTTGAATTTTTGACTCCTGACCTTAACTTTGGCCCCAAATTTTGAAAAATTAAACGTAATTTGAGGAACGAGGGCACTGAGTGTGGCCCAGAGGGGACATATGGGGCAGAGCCAGAGCAGGGCTGGGACAGAGGGTGAGGAAATGGCGCTGCGGTTTGGGGGAAGGGCCAGGGGAACGGGGACAGGAGGGGGCCCAGCCATGGGGGAGGAGCCAAGAGCATACGCAGTATTAGCACCAGCACCAGCACGAACACTCTTGGCACAGAAATAGGTGGAGGAATCCTCGTCCTTGAGGTTGTTCATGGTCAGCGTCACCGAGCTCTGCCCGTTGTCCCTGGAGATCGTGAACCGGCCCTTGACCGATGGCGCATATGCGGTGCTGGAACCACTGCTGTAGATGCCTGCGAGCCACTCCAGCCCCTGCCCGGGGCTCTGGCGGATCCAGTACATGTCAAAATTCCCAAAACTGAACCCGGACCCTCGGCAGAGGAGGCGCAGGGACCCCCCGGGGGACTGGAGGTCCCCCCCACACTCCAGCAGGGTCACAGCCGCCCGGAGCCCTGCGGGACAAAGGGGAGATGCGGATGAGGCCAAAGCTCAACCCTTGACCCAAATCCTGACCCTTGGCCCCAAACTGTGAACCATGGACCATCCCATCCTGGTTGTTTTGCTCCTGCTGCCTCTCCAAGTTGGGTCCCACACGCTTTTTCTGGCATGGCCATGTTCACTTCTGGTCAGAAGCCAATCAGGTTTCTCATTCCCATCTCCCCTTTGTCCCGCAGGGCTCCGGGCGGCCGTGACCCTGCTGGAGTGCGGGGGGGACCTCCAGCCCCCCGGGGGGTCCCTGCGCCTCCTCTGCCGAGGGTCCGGGTTCAGTTTCGGCAGTTTTGCCATGCAATGGATCCGCCCGAGACCCGGGCAGGGGCTGGAGTGGGTCGCTGGGATCAGGAACGATGGTTCGAGCACCGGGTATGCGGATTCAGTCCAGGGCCGGTTCAGGATCTCCAGGGACAACGGGCAGAGCTCGGTGATGCTGACCATGAACAACCTCAAGGACGAGGATTCCGGATCCTATTTCTGTGCCAAACGTGCTTATGCTGATAATTGGGGCCCTCCTGCTATTTGTAAATGCACCATTGGTGGATCCATCTCCATCGCTGTGTCCCCACCTGTCCCCAAAGCTGAAGACCCTTCCCCCACACCCCAGTCCCATTATCTGATCCTTTGTCCCAGATCTGCCCCATTTCCACCCATGGTGACCAAAGACTCCAAACCCCGTCTGGTGTTGCCCCAAACCCAACTGAGTTGGTGCCAGAATTTAACAAATTTCACACAAAATCTCAGCCCTTTGGGCACTTTGGGGGGACCAGGGCGAGATTTGGGGCCGAGAGTTGAGTTTGGGGCCAGACCCAGGGGAGGGTTTGGGGCCAATGGGCAGCGTTGGGGCAACGGGGGCAGGGCAGGGACAAAGGGTCAGGGTGAAGGTTTGGGGCCAATGGTTGAGTTTTGGGGCAGAACCAGGCGAGGGTTTGGTGTCAGTGCTGACCATTCATGCAAATAGGGACAAAGGGTCAAGATCTGAGACAAGAGGCGAGGTTTGGGACGAAAATCGAAAATTTGGAGATCCAATGATAGGAAAGGAGCAAAAACTAGAAGTTTGACGCTATCAACAGCATTGTCACCATGATTAGCAACAGCCCAACAACCGGCACAAAAAGCCCTGGCACAGAAATAGGATCCGGAATCCTCGTCCTTGAGGTTGTTCATGGTCAGCGTCACCGAGCTCTGCCCGTTGTCCCTGGAGATCGTGAACCGGCCCTTGACCGATGGCGCGTAGCCGATGTTTCCACCAGTGTTGGTGATCCCCGCGAGCCACTCCAGCCCCTGCCTGGGTCTCTGGCGGATCCAGCCCAGCCCAAATTGGCCAAAACTGAACCCGGACCCTCGGCAGAGGAGGCGCAGGGACCCCCCGGGGGGCTGGAGCTCTCCCCCGCACTCCAGCAGGGTCACGGCCGCCCGGAGCCAATCCCCAAACCTTCACCAATTTCACTCATAACTCCCCTGATTTGGTCTCAAAACCCCACCAGAGTTTTCCGTATCTCAACATGCCTCAAACCCTGCAATTAACCCCAATCCATTCTTTAATTACTTGGACACCTCATCCTGAGCATTCTGCATTGATTACACAGTTAATACACTGTTAACGACCCCCAATTCCCCCCGGGACCCCAACCCGGGCACATCCCGGCCACGGCCTCGAGCTCCCTCCGGCTCCTGGCACTGCTGATCCTGCTGCCCCTCCCAGGTGGGCTCCGCCCCTTTTTTCCAGCTGGCCACGCCCCTTCGTACCTGCTTGCTCAATCAGGTTTCCCATCCCCATCTCCCCTTTGTCCCGCAGGGCTCCGGGCGGCCTTGACCCTGCTGGAGTGCGGGGGGGATCTCCAGCCCCCCAGGGGGTCCCTGCGCCTCCTCTGCCGAGGGTCCGGGTTCAGTTTTGGACAATTTGGGATGGGCTGGATGCACCAGAGACCCGGGCAGGGGCTGGAATACATCGCGGGCGTTGACAGCGATGGATACACCAGATACCCGTCTGTATTCAAGGGCCAGGTCACGATTTCCAGGGACAATGGGCAGAGCTTGGTGACGCCGACCATGAACAACCTCAAGGACGAGGATTCCGGATCCTATTTCTGTGCCAAATGTGATGATGGTGGTTTTGCCAATAGTGATGGTTCTGTTGGTGTTGCATTTGTTGCTGGCTCTGGCCTTGGCTCCAAATCCCTCCACTTTGTTTCCAAATGAACCAGAGTCCTGTGATCTCTCCTCCAAATCCCTCACATTTCCATGAAATCTCGGCCATTTTCCCCAAAACTCCATCCCTGCTGCCCCAATTTCCGACTTCCCCCAGTGTTGCCCATTTCACCCAAATCTCCCCCAGCTCCCAGGTCCTGATTGTAGGAGGCCAGATCTGGAGTTTAGGGGTGAAGATTTGGGGCCAATGGTTGAGTTTTGGGGCAGGAGCAGGGGAGGGTTTGGGGTCTGTGGCCACTGTTGTTGCAAATGGAGTGAAAAGGTCAAAGACTGCATCAAGAAGAGACGTTTGGGATGAAAATCAGAGCTTTGGCAAAAAAATGAAGGGAGCGGGGCAAAAAGCATTCCCTGAAGGCAATCACCAACATCGTCACCATTGTGACCAGCAGCCCAGCAACCACTACAATTAGGAATGGCACAGAAATAGGATCCACAAACCTCGTCCTTGAGGTTGTTCGTGGTCAGCGTCACCGAGCTCTGCCCGTTGTCCCTGGAGATCCTGCACCGCCCCTTGACTGAATCCGCGTAGCCGGTGTTCCCACCAGTGTTGGCGATCCCTGCGACGAATTCCAGGCCCTGCCCCGGTCGTTGTTGCATCCAGCCCATCCCAAATAGCCCAAAATTGAACCCGGACCATCGGCAGAGGAGGCTCAGGGACCCCCCGGGGGGCTGGAGGTCCCCCCCACACTCTAGCAGGGTCACGGCCGCCTGGAGCCCTGCAGGACAAAGGGGAGATGGGGATGAGGCAATGCAAAAGTCAGGAAGAGCTGTGCAATTAATTAACGGGTGGGTGGGAGCTAATTGCAGTGTTGAAGGCACATAACAATACTGGAAACTTCTGTTGGAGAATTGAGGCCAGACAAAGGGAATTTGGGGCAAAACTGGTGAAGGTTTGGGGATGGGGGATCGGCCGTGACCCTGCTGGAGTGCGGGGGGAACCTCCAGCCCCACGAGGGGTCCCTGCGCCTCCTCTGCCGAGGGTCCGGGTTATGTTTTGGGGATTATGCCATGCACTGGATCCGTCAGAGACCCGGGCAGGGGCTGGAATGGCTCGCGGGGATCAGCAGCCCAGCTGGTTCCAGCACCGCCTACGCCCCGTCGGTGCAGGGCCGGTTCACGATCTCCAGGGACAAGGGGCAGATCTCGGTGACGCTGACCATGAACAACCTCAAGGATGAGGATTCCGGATCCAATGTCTGTGCAAAGGAGAGTGGTGGTGGTAACCCTGCAGCTCCTTATATTGACCGTGCCAGTGGTGGCACCACCCCTGTCTGAGCCCCCCCTATCCCCAACCCCAGACCCTTCCCCCAAACCTCAGCCCTTGACCCTTTGTCCCCATCTGCACCAGTGGTCAGCACTGACCCCAAACCCTCCCCTGCTCCTGCCCCAACACTCAACCATTGGCCCCAAACCTTCACCCCTGGCCTCCAGTTCAGGCCTCCTCCAATCAGGGCCCGGGAACTGGGGGAGATTTGGGTGAAATGGGCAAAATTTGGGGAAAGTCGAGAGTGGGGATAGCAGGGGCACAGTTTGGGGGAAAGGGGCTGATATTTCAGGAGAAGGGCTGGGATTTTGGGGAAGGATCAGAGAATTCTGTGATACCTGGGAGCACAGAAAAAAAGGGCTTGGGACCACAACCAACATGAACACCATGAGCATAAGCGCCATTACCAGAGCCACTGCTGTAACATTTGGCACAGAAATAGGATCCGGAATCCTCGTCCTTGAGGTTGTTCATGGTCAGCGTCACTGAGTTCTGCTCATTGTTCCTGGAGATCTTGACCCGGCCCTTGACTGATGGCGCATAGTCGGTGCTGACACCATTGCCGTAGATCCCAGAGAGCCACTCCAGCGCGTTCCCAGGGCTCTGACGCATCCAGAACATTCCATAACTCCCAAAACTGAACCCAGACCCTTGGCAGAGGAGGCGCAGGGACCCCCTGGGGGGCTGGAGGTCCCCCCGCACTCCAGCAGGGTCACGGCCGCTCCCCCATCCCCAAACCTTTAGTTTAGTTTTGCCACAAATTCCCTTTGTCTGGCCCCAAATCTCCAAGAGAGAAGCCCAGTATCATACAGTGTCTTCAAGCCTGCAATGAGCCCCAGTTCACCCATTAATTAATAGGACAGCTCTGCCTGAGTTTTGCATCACCTCATCACCATCTCCCCTTTGTCCCTCAGGGCTCCGGGTGGCCGTGACCCTGCTGGAGTGCGGGGGGGACCTCCAGCCCCCCGGGGCCTCCCTGCGCCTCCTCTGCCGAGGGTCCGGGTTCAATGTTGGCAATTTTGGGATGGGCTGGATGCGCCAGAGATCCGGGCAGGGTTTGGAATTTGTTGCAAGGATCTGTGACAATGGAGGTTACACCGAGTACGCGCCGTCAGTCAAGGACCGGTTCAGGATCTCCAGGGACAACAGGCAGAGCTCGGTGACGCTGACCATGAACAACCTCAAGGACAAGGTTTCCGGATCCTATTTCTGTACCAAATCTGATGATGCTGCTGCTGCTCCTACTGCTGGTTATATTGACACTGCCGGTGCTGTCCCCATCCCCATCTCCATATCCCCCCGACGTCCCCGTTGCCCAGACCCTTTACCCAGACCCCCAGCCCACACCCAGACCTTGACCATTGATCCCAACCTTGCTCTGCCTCAGCCCCAATTTTCACCCGCTGACCCCAAACCACAACTCCTGACCCCAAATATCCACTTTGTGCCCCAAAACTTTCCTCCGAAGTTGGCAGTCAAGATTTGGGTCAAAATTTTGGTCAACTTTGTTGTCAAGAGCAGAGAATTTGGGGCCGAGTCAGCGCAGGGATAAGACATGGGGTCAGGAATGGGGTCAGGGGCTGATGTTTGGGAGAAGGGTCTGGGACAGTCGGTCTGGGTGGGACAAGAGCATGGGTTGAACACGATCAGCGTTAGCAGCCCAATTGCTGTAGGCACCCTTGGCACAGAAATAGGATCCAGAATCCTCGTCCTTGAGGTTGTTCATGGTCAGCGTCACCAAGCTCTGCCCGTTGTCCCTGGAGATTGTGAACCAACCCTTGACTGATGGCGCAAAGTAAATGTTGGAACCATCGCTCCTGATGTAGGCGACGAATTCCAGCCCCTACCCGGGTCTCTGTCGGTCCCACTGCATGGCAATACTTCCGAAACTGAACCCGGACCCTCGGCAGAGGAGGCGCAGGGACCCCCCGGGGGCTGGAGGTGACCCCGCACTCCAGCAGGGTCACGGCCGCCCGGACCCCTGCGGGACAAAGGGGCGACGGGGATGAGGCCGAAGCTCAACCATTCACCCAAGTCCTCAATCTTGGTCACAAATCGGGACGCTTGGAGTTCATCATCCTCCACCCATGTGCGTCCTGCCCCATTTTTGAAGCATGTCATTCGAAGTTGAGCACTCTTCACCAATCAGGTTTCTGATCACCATCTCCCCTTTGTCCCACAGGGCTCCGGGCGGCCGTGACCCTGCTGGAGTGCGGGGGTGAACTCCAGCCCCCCGGGGGATCCCTGCGCCTCCTCTGCCGAGGGTTCGGGTAAAGTTTCGGGAGTTTCTCCATGTTCTGGATGTGCCAGAGACCCGGGCAGGCTTTGGAATACGTCGCAAGCATATACTACATTGTTGCCAACACCCACTACGCGCCATCGGTCAAGGGCCAGTTCAGGATCTCCAGGGACAACGGGCAGAGCTCGGTGACGCGGACCATGAACAACCTCAAGGACGAGGATTCCGCCGTTTATTTCTGTGCCAAATGTTACAGCAGTGGTTGTGGTGGTGGTGGTGCTGGTTATGGTGTTGATGGTGGTTGTGGTCCCAAGCCCTCTCCTCTCTGTTCCCAAATATCTTAGAATTCTCTTATGCTTCCCTAAAATCCCCACCCCTGTTTCTCAAATCTTGACCATTTCCCCATAAATTCCACCCCTTCTGCCACAGCTTTTGGTTTCCCCCAATTTTGCCCATTTCTCTTGAATCTCCCCCAGTTCCCCTCCATCCCAGTGTGGAACGGGGATCGCTCCAGGGCCCTTTGCACACAAAGCTTTTTGTGCAGCCGGCGCTCTGCCGCAGCACCCCGAGGCTGAGCTGCCCTCTGCCAAACACAGATGTTCACAATGACCAAAACCAGGAACTTTCTGTTTCCTTTCCCGCCCCGGCCGGGCCCCGGCAGCTGCCGGGGAGGATGTGGGGGGAGGTTGCGGAGCCCCAAAATCGCGGCGTCTGCTCCTGCCTCCCTCCCTCCCTCGCTCCCACCTGGGGCTTCACTTCTCCCTCAGCGGCCTCGGTGTCTGGTGCTGCTCCTTGGGGTTGGGCTGGAATCCTCTCTGGGAGCTCTGGACATGGTGACGATGCTGGTGGTGGCACCAAAACCCCCATCCCTGGCTCCCCAAATGTCCCAAAATCACCAAGTCCTGCCCCAAATCACAACCCTTGACCCCATTCTTGACCTTCTCCCCCAGTGTCCACCATCTTTGCACCAACTCTCGACTTTCCCCCAGTTTTGCCCATTTCACCGAAATCTCCCCCAGTTCCCGTGCCCAGATTGGAGGAGGCCTGAACTGGGGGCAAGGGGTGAAGGTTTGGGGCCAATGGTTGAGTGTTGGGGCAGGAGCAGGGGAGGGTTTGGGGTCAGTCCTGACCATTGGGGCAAATGGGGACAAAGGATCAAGGGCTGAGTCAATGGGTGAGGTTTGGGGGAAGGGTCTCGATTTGGGGACAGGGGGAGACACTGAGAGGGGGCTGGATCCACAACTGTCACCTTCACTATAAGCACCAGGACTGCAACAACCATTATCAGCATGTTTGGCACAGAAATAGGATCCGGAATCCTCGTCCTTGAGGTTGTTCATGGTCAGCGTCACCGCGCTCTGCCCGTTGTCCCTGGAGATCATGACCCGGCCCTTGACCGATGGCGCGCAGCCGGTGTAGACACCACTGCTGGTGATCCATGCCACCCATTCCAGCCCCTGCCTGGGTCTCTGGCGCATCCAGCACATGTTAAAACTGCCAAAATCGAACCCGGACCCTCGGCAGAGGAGGCGTAGGAACCCCCCAGGGGGCTGAGGTCCCCCCCGCACTCCAGGAGGGTCACGGCCATTCCCACATGCCCAAACCTTCACCGCTTTTGCCCCAAAATCCCTTTGTCTGGCTTTAAATATCTAACAGAGGTATCCTGTATGGAGAAGTGCCTTCAACACTGCAATTAGCCCCAATCCACCCATTAATTAATTGGGCAGTTCTGCCTGAGTTTTGCATCGCCTCATCCCCATTTCCCCTTTGTCCCACAGGGCTCTGGGCGGCCGTGACCCTGCTGGAGTGTGGGAGGGACCTGCAGCCCCCCAGGCCATCCCTGACGTTGCTGTGCCGAGGGTCCGGGTTCGATTTTGGGAGTTTTGGAATGTTCTGGGTGCACCAGAGACCCAGGCAGGCGCTGGAATTCGTTGCTGGGATCAATGCTGATGGTGTCAACACATTCAACGCGCCGTCGGTCAAGGGCCGGGTCACGATCTCCAGGGACAATGGGCACAGCTCGGTGACGCTGACCATGAACAACCTCAAGGACGACGATTCAGGATCCTATTTCGGTGCCAAGCGTATTTCTGGTGGCAATGCTGATATTGCCAGTGCTTTTGGCCCTGTCCGCATATTTGTGTCCTCAGCTGTCCCCAGACCTTTCCCCTGTGGTAACACATGGCCAGCATCACCGAGCTCAGCCCGCTGTCCCTGGCCGTGCTGACCCAGCCCTTCACCGATGGAACGTTCCAGGTGACTCCACCCTTGAACCCATCTGCTTCTCTCAGCATGGAGCCCTTGGCTCGTGATCAATTTAAACAGTTTCATCTCCCCTATGTTTCAGGTGTTTTTGGTTAAAAAAGGGTTTTTTCTCCAGAGCTCGCTGAGAGGATTCCAGCCCAGCCCCAAGGAGCAGCACCAGAAACTGAGGCCGCTGAGGGAGAAGTGAAGCCCCAGGTGGGACAAAGGGAGGGTGGGAGGAGAAGACGCCGCGATTTTGGGCCTCCGCAGCCTCCCCCCACTTCCTCCCCGGCAGCTGCTGGGGCCCGGCCGGGGCAGGAAAGGAAACAGAAAGTTGCTGGTTTTGGTCATTGTGAGCATCTGTGTTTGGCAGAGGGCAGCTCAGCCTCTGGGCGCTGCGGCAGAGCGCCGGCTGCACAAAAAGCTTTGTGTGCAAAGGGCCCTGGAGCGATCCCCGTTCCACACTGGGACGGAGGGGAAGGGTCAGAATGGGGAGAAATGGGGAAAATCGGGGGAAATTGGGAATTGGGGAAGTGATGGTGGAGTTTGGGGAAATGGTCAAGATTTGAGAAAGAGGGGTGGGGATTTTGGGGAAGGATCAGAGAATTCTGAGATATTTGGGAAGAGAGAGGAGAGGGCTCGGGACCACAACCACCATCTACACCATAAGCATAAGCGCCATTACCACAGCCACTGCTATAACATTTGGCACAGAAATAGGTGGCAGAATCCTCGTCCTTGAGGTCATTCATGGTCAGCGTCACCGAGCTCTGCCCGTTGTCCCTGGAGATCGTGAACCGGCCCTGCACCAATGGCGTGTAGTAGGTGCTGGAACCAGTTTTGTAGATTCCAGCGAGCCATTCCAGCCACTGCCCGGGTCTCTGTCGGATCCAGAACATTCTAAAATTCCCAAAACTGAACCCGGGCCCTCGGCAGAGGAGGCGCAGGGACCCCCCGGGGGACTTGAGGTCCCCCCCACACTCCAGGAGGGTCACGGACGCCCGGAGCCCTGCGGGACAAAGGGGAGATGGGGATGAGGCCAAAGCTCAACCCTTGACCCAAATCCTGACTCTGGGCCCCAAACTGGGACCCTTGGAGTTCGTCATCCTCCACCCAGGTGGGTTCTGCC